CGACCTTGCGCTTGCCAGGCAGGCGCTTTGCCGCTGAGCTAAATCCCCAGCCCCCATATTTTCATCTTAACAGAAGAAACTGTGCAGAAAATGTTCAATCTGAGTGTAGTTTAACAATATTTACAGATTATATTGAGATTATAATATTTATAGGTCCTTTGCTTAGCTCTAGATTTTGGAGCTAATTTTCCTATGTTTCTTCTAGCATTTTAATAATTTTTATTTTAATAATGTAATAATAATGTGTTCTAAATTCTTCATAACTTTCAATCATCAAACCTAATATTTTCATTCAATTTGCTTCATGTTTCTGAACCATATTTTATATCTTTATTTCCACGATCATTTTGATTTTTAATACTTTTATTTCCATTGGTTTTCCATTATTTTGGCATTTACACCTCCCTTTTACTCCCTCTTAAGTTTACAAAGAAGATTATCTATTATCATGTTAAATATGAAATAGTAATGTAAATTGTTTCATTTTCTTTTGTTAATAAACTTTGTAAAGAGTTGAATGACTTTACATCTAGGATCTTCCTTACTCATCACAATTTATTTCAATTTTTATGTGTTTTAAAGCCAAAAACGTTATTTTTATTTCATCTGATCTAAAATTATTCATATTCCTCTTTTTTACTGCAATTTAATTTTTTCTTCTAATGCTGAGCTTACATCTAGAATCATTACCCTTCTTCCTGAAGAACAACTCTAGTGCTCTGTTCAAGTTCAATTATTGATGAACTATCTCAATTCATTTTCACCTTAAAATACTTTCATATGTTTTTGCTTGGACAAGATTTTTACATAAGACCCACCTCTATGATGGAAGTTATTTTTTGTTCACAAAATTTCATTATTTGTGATTTGATTTCACTATTTCTGTTGGGAATTCAGCTATGCTCTTTTAAAAATAGTCTCTCTTCCTTAGTATTATTTAATTTGCTTATTTATTTATTTATTTAACTTCTTTGAGACAGGACCTCACTGTGTAATTCAGGCTGGCTTTGAACTCACTTTGTAGCCCAGGCTGGCCTCAAACTCACAGTGAGCCTCCTGCCGCAGCCTCCTGAGTTCTGGGATTACAGGACTTCGCCACCGTGCCCGGCCTTTAGCTTGTTTTAAATTTTGATTGTTTGCTTATAAGTAATTTCACCTTGCCTATGATACCCACAAGTATGATCATGTTTCTATTTATGCTGTTTTAGGTTTACACTGCTATCAGAGTCTATAGTATAAAAAATGTCTGAGTAATGATCTGTGATTTGAACATTATTTCAGGAATGGTTTCCATAGTCTGTTATCCATCATCTGAATTGACAAATATGTGCATATGGATATTATCTGTGTATATACATGTATGTGTGTGTACACATAAATAGGTCTGTATACATATATATGTGTATATATATGTATATGCTTGTATCTTCATGTGTTGCTTGTCTGTTACTCTCTTTATATCCTTGTATACTCTCTTTATATTCAGATTATAGTTTCATTTTTAAAAGATTTTCATTCATCTGAAATTCTCTAACTCTTCTTTTATTTCTTTGAACAAATAAAATATATGTATGTATATGTAGCTAGATGAATAATAAATAGGTGTGTGTGTGTGTGTGTGTGTGTGTGTTTGCATCTGCTGTCTCTTGCTATTTGTCACAATATCTTTAATCCTGTTACTCCTGCATATTTCTTACTAGATGCAGGAAATAGAAAATTTTATGTAAAACCTCTCAAAGATAACAGAGGTCTAGAATGCTATCATTTTTTTAAAATGATAAATTCATTGTGCTCCAGATCTACTTATGCTTCTACTGGATCTTGACCTTATTGAGCTGATTAATGAGTGAAATGACTTCAGGCTGAACTTCAGCATATTGTCCAGGAAAACTGCACACTACTTATCAGGCCACATGCGTTCTTGAGAAATAACAACCAAAGGACTTTTGCTTCCATTCCTAGACATGGTCAATGAAATCATTTTTAAAAGTACTCTTGTCAGGCTTTGTATTCTTAGGCTCATTTATCTGTCCAGAGCCCCTTTTCAAAAATTTTGACCTCTAAAATTCTTGTGTTTTTTTTGTGTTGTTGTTGCAGTTTTTGGGTCAAACTGAGAAGTTCTATGCTACTGAGTTATATTCTGAGCATCTCTCTCCTTTTTCTTTCATGTTTTTCTTTTTTTTTTCTGGTACTGGATATCGAACTCATGACCTTGTGCTTGCCAGGCAAGGGCTGTGCCACTGAGCTAAATCCCCAGCCCTTTTTATGTTGACACAGTATCTTACTAGGTTGGAATTTGAATCTTCCTGCCTTAGCCTCCTGAGTAGCTGGAGTTAGAGGTGTACACCAGAATCAAATTGGCTTCCTCCAAATTCTTCAGTGATGCAAGTGGTCTATGAAGCCTGAAAATATTACCTTTATTAAAAAAATACAATTTCATAAAAAGATAATGAGATTAACAGTAGTTATTAGTACACTGTGTATAATTTTTCTAAGTCATTCAAAGGTGTGACAGCTTTTCTTGATATAGAATTTCTGCTTTTGTATTAACATGAAATAGTCTTTATAAATTTTTATTATTTGCTTGGTCTATATATCTATGCCTATCTGTTTGTATTTTATTTTGGCTATGTTTTCACATTTTTAGCCAGAAAACCAATTTAATTTTCATGAGCATTTATATTAATATTTGTCTATCTAGTCCTTATTTTTATAGTGAAGCTAGTTTTCTGTGTAGTAAGCTAAGAGTTTTCTCAATCATTTTTATATGAATATTCAAACTTACATGTTTAAAGATATGTTGTGCAGAAGTTGTTTATTATCATTTTCTAGTGTGTATAAGGTATATACTTATAACTTGGCATCACCTTAGCTTTAATATTTCAGCAGAAATCATATTGTAATATAATAGTGGCCTTCACAGAATATATTCATGTATGCTATCTTTTGTCCCAATGAAAGTTTGTATGTCTGGCAGAATTTTTTTCAGGCATAATATATAGTGATGTAATAAATAGTGACAGCTTTAGTACTTAGTTATTTTTTCTCATTGCTGAAGAATGCCCAAAACTTTATCATAAGCACATGAGATCTAATGTTCATATTCTCCAGAACTCAGCGATGTTATTTTGCAATACAATAAGGTTAGGACCCTGAGACTGAATAGGAAGAAGTGACAAAAGATCTGCAAAAGAAAAAACTGATGAACAAAGGAGAACTGTTCGCATAGAAGAGAGAAAGTCTCTTACGAAATAGAAAGATGAAAAAGACATCCCCTTATTGTCAATTGTTCATAATATTGAAATAATAGTACTTAAAATAAGAAATGAAAGTAAAACAAATTCCAATAGTGGTTATTGATTATAATAATTCTATGGGTGGTATTGACAGAGTTGATCAACATCTAAGAAACTCTCCTATAATCAGGAGCAGAGAAAAAATATTACTGTAAATATTTATGCAACTCCTGGAGCAAACAATATGGAATTTATTTGTTATTTATTCAAAACAAGAGGGCTCAAAATGTAATTTACAATTTAGATAGGGCTAATAGGCCAAATAATTGAAAAATATGGCCTAGGAAAATGCCAAACAGAACATCCATCACTGACATCTTCACCATCATGTTTGCTGGATAGACATTTTATTGAGATTATACCACCCACAGAAAATTAGAAAAGCTAACAAGACAGTGTGAAGTGTGCTATTTAAAGAAACACAATCATGCGAAAAGAATTTGCAAAGATAACAAATTGTACTGTCCAGATTATCACATTGCATTGTGAATCGAATGTTTTAAGATATATCATACACAGAAAATTTTTTTCAACAAATTTGATTAAATTGTTATTTTTATTTCTTGTTATATTATAAAAATATATGGACAATGCAAATTTTTGTCATCCTGTGTTTAAATAATTGGATTAGTAAGAGTTAAAAAGAGAAAGATTTTTTAGCTCAAAATTTGTTGACATTTTAGTTCATTAGTCAGATGGTTCCAAATCAATGTAGCATGGCAGAGGGGCAACACAGAGGAGAAACAGTTCATGGCAAGGCAGAAGGCAGTGAACAATATGCAGCAGCAGCAGCCGCAGCAGCAGAAGCCTTGTTTCTGTCCCCTGTATTTTCCATCCAATAGGCTGTAAGCTTATTGATTGACAGCACCCATACCCAGCATGGTGCTTCCATTATCGGCCCCTTAATCCCAGCATCACACACCCTAGACCCAACCACCTCTGGAAAGCCCCACCCATAACCACATGGGGATTTGGGATGACATCTAGATACAAGCCATAACAACTGTTGTTCATAGTATTGATAACTGCTGATATATGCCTAGAAAGCTTTCGCAAATTTGGCTTTCTTAGACAAGGTAATATTACAGTAAATATTTTACATCTTCTGTAATATAAATCATTCTTTGTTACTTCAGAGTATTGACCAGACTCCATCATTAGATATTCAAAAGTAACATCCTATGTATATCTCCTCTTAGACATAAATTAATACCTCACAAATGAATTTGCCTTTCCAATAAATTGATGAGTTGTTGTACTTTAAACTCACAAATCATTCTTTGCTTAAAATGTATGTAATTAAAAAACAGAATTAGAACTGAGGAAACTTGAATATGTAAATTGTTATTTGCTTTATGTAAAACTGTATTGTACACTTTTATTATATATTTGTACAAATATATAAAATTATATATATGTATATGTTATGCATTTAAATCATAGCTGGTAGAAATTCTCACTCGAACTCTAAATGATTCAGTATGAGTTTGCACAGATAAATTTGCAAGATTTGTGAAGATTCAATTATTTTTTCTTCATGCTGAAAATGGGTGAAGACAGACGAAAGTAGGTAATGACAGTCAAATTTATTTTTGTTATGTTTGTGTATATTGTCTTCTTTTTGACTACTAAGGATTAAACTATTTTTCCATCTGAATATTCTAGAGACTTTAATCTGTAATCATACAAATTTAAATTATGAGCAGTTATCACATTCCAAAAAATTGTCAAAAAATTTAGCGATGACTTGAATCGCACCATCTTGTCGCAACATAATCTAAGAATTAACTTAGATTATGTTAGGTCCCTGTAGGTCAGGCATCTGTCTTTACTTATATGATCACCAGGTGCTCTGGCATTCAAAAGTTGGTCCTCTTTCCTGGATGACCGGCTGAAATCATAACATTTTAGGAAAAGAAGGCTGAATTATTTCAATTGGAGTGAGAGTAAAAACAATAGATAAGGATGTTAGAGTTATGCAGAGAAAAGAAATGTAGGGGCTGGGGATTTAGCTCAGCGGCAAAGCGCCTGCCTGGCAAGTGCAAGGTCGTGAGT